GAGAGAGAGAGAGAGAGAGAGAGAGAGGAAATGGATTTGTAAATGGATTTGTTGGGGACGGAGAGAGAGAGAGAGAGAGAGAGAGAGAGAGAGAGGGAGAGAGAGAGTACTCTTGTTATCGTATTGGTGCGGTTTGTACAGGGCGTGTATGGTAGTATGGGGAAACCGTTGGTGGAGACCGAACCGTGAGGCGAAGCGCATAAGTGCGCTCTGTTTCCGCTTCGTCTAGCGAGTAATTTGCTCAACGACTCGGTGCGGGCGTTTCCGCACATCGACTTTTTATTTTAGGGATAGGGCCTATTTTTAGCTCCAAAGCGCGGTCCGCTGAAACTCGTTCAGCCGCCCCCGACAGGTTAGATCAGACCGGTCTTAGCGCTCTGATTTCTCCTGGAAGATTTTTTTTTTTTTTTTTTTTTTGGGTGCGTGTCGGTTCTGATTCCGGTTCTTGATCATGCCCCTTGACTCATTGAGCGATTCTTCGTTTCTCCATTCTCTGTTTCTCGATTCTTTGTTTCGCAAGGAGGAGGTTGCACGTATCTGGATTTTTCAGTTCTGAACGTCGAAAAGACTCCTAAATGTTTCATCCAAGGCCAGAAATGAAGAATGCAGGTTAGGTAGAATCTGTGATCCCGCCAGGTTGGTCTATGGTCTGGCAGTGAACTTGAGTTTGAGCTTCAGATCCGGGTCGAAATGTGAGGTCCCCGGCCTCGTATATGTGGTTTGTTTTAATAAGAGATCATGCGTTGCCTTTATTAAAAAAAAAATAAAAAAATAAAAAAAAATAGAATGCAGGTTAGTTGTAACGCGCCATGGGGTTCACGGCTCAGTGACGGCTGTAATTGGATTTGTGACGATGATGTTGGTGGCCATTCTTTCATCTTCCCACTTCCAATAAGTACAGCATTTGATATATATGGGGATCTGTGAGGCAGATATCTGGATCGCAGAACGGGAAAGTTCGGTCGGTAGAATCTGTGATCCCCCCAACTGTGTGGTCTGGATGTAGACCACGGGACAGCGCTGTATGGTCTATACACACATCGCATCATCGCTTCTGAAGCCATCGCACAGCATCGAAATGCTGCTTACAACTTGTACAGACAGTACAGGTGGTGTCTGGTGTTGTCTGGCACCAACGAGCACACTGCCAGCGACTCCACAGCCGGGGGGGGGGAATCACAGATTCTACCTACCAAACTTTCCTGTTTTGGAATTGACATTTCGGGCTCACAGTCCATTTCACAGATCCCGGTCTGGATGTCGACCGTAGCCACAATACATGAAGACGGGACAGCGCTCTGGAGTCCCAACACATCGCTAGTGCAGCCATCCCATACCGTCGAAATGCTGCTCACAACGTCAACAGGTGGTGTCTGGTACCAACGAGCACAGTGCCCCTGACCCCAGAGTGGGGGCAGGGGTCATAGATTCTACCGATAAAACTTTCCTGTTTTGCGATGCCATCGGAGATATCTGGCTCACAGTCCGTTTTGAAACAGTTTTCACCTTTGGCAGTAGCCGATGCAGATCCCAGGGGTCGATCCCTTGACCTCAGCTTACCTGTGTAC